ATATATGCTAATATATTTCTTCTTATTGCACATTGAACATGCCCCATGTACGTCTTGTATCGTACGTTATATATTCCAATAAACTTCTTCTATTGCACATTGAACATGCCCAATGTACGTCTTGTATCGTACGTTATATATGCTAATATGCTTCTTCTACTGCACATTGAACATGCCCCATGTACGTCTTGTATCGTACGTTATATATGCCAATACACTTCTTTTTGGTGTACATTAAACATGCCCCATATACGTCTTGTATCGTACGTTATATATGCCAATAAACTTCTTCTTGATTGCACATTGAACATGCCCCATGTACTCCTTGTATCGTACGTTATATATGGTAATATATGTCTCCTATTGCACATTGAAAATGCCCCATGTACGTCTTGTATCGTACGTTATATATGCTAATATATTTCTTCTTATTGCACATTGAACATGCCCCATGTACGTCTTGTATCGTACGTTATATATGCCAATAAACTTCTTCTATTGCACATTGAACATGCCCCATGTACGTCTTGTATCGTACGTTATATATGCTAATATGCTTCTTCTATTGCACATTGAACATGCCTCATGTACGTCTTGTATCGTACGTTATATATGCTAATCTACTTCTTCTACTGCACATTGAACATGCCCCATGTACGTCTTGTATCGTACGTTATATATGCCAATACACTTCTTTTTGGTGTACATTAAACATGCCCCATATACGTCTTGTATCGTACGTTATATATGCCAATAAACTTCTTCTTGTTTGCACATTGAACATGCCCCATGTACTCCTTGTATCGTACGTTATATATGGTAATATATGTCTCCTATTGCACATTGAAAATGCCCCATGTACGTCTTGTATCGTACGTTATATATGCTAATATATTTCTTCCTTAATATGCCCCATGTAACATCTTATATCCTTCCATTCTATGCTAATATCTTTTTCTATTATTCATTAAACATGCCTCTATGTACATCTTTGTATCATTACGTTATATATGCTATCTACTTCTTCTACTGTACATTGAACATTTCCCATGTACGTCTTGTATCATCTTATATATCCATAAACTTCTTTTATGTACATTAAACATACCATATCCATTATCCATTATATGCCAATCCTTTCTTCTGCACATTCATTTCCATATATACATCTTGTATCCATTATATATGTGTAATATATGTCTCCTATTGCACATTCTTCCCCATATTACATCTTATATCATTATATACTATATTGCTCCTTCTATTTCTTATTGCCTTGAACATCTTCCATATCGTCTTACATTACGTTATATATGCTAATCTTCTTTCTATTCATTGAACATCCATCTTGTTATACGTTATATTGCTTCTCTTCTTCTATTCATCATATAACATCTCATGTATCTTGTCCATTCGTTATATATCTTTCTTCTTTTCTATTCATATGCCCCATGTTTATCCATTATATTATATATCTATTATAGTTTCTTCTTTCTATTATTCATACCATGTTTTGTCTTGTATTTTATTCTGTCAATTTCTTCTATTGCACATTAACATGCCCCATGTACGTCTTATCCATATATATTCATAATTTTCTTCTATTGCCTATTCATATTATATTTTTGTGTCCATTATTATGCTCCTTCTTCTCTATAGATTGTATTATCCTATATATTCTATTGTACATTATCCTGTCCTTGTATTGTAGGTTTTAAGGTTCTGATGTGTGTGACCATTATTATACGAGGGACACTGCTTCACTTGCTGTGCTGGTAATGTTGAATCCACAAACGAATGTAGCCATGAGCAACCTTTCTATTCCCATTCGCTCACAGCCCCCACCCCAAACCCCATAAAACACACACACACAGAAAACATAACAAAAAAATACCACACACACTCTTTGCATTTCTTCCTCCTCCCCGAAAACTCCTCCCATTCCTACTTCCCCTTCATTCCACCTGTTCTCCTTGGGATCCACCTGGTCATCCCTTCCAGTGTTCCTTTCTCTTCATTCCACCTGTTCCTCCACCATCTTTCCAGCACCTGTTCCTTTCCCCTTTCTCCATTTCCTGTTCTCCTTCCTTCCCACCTGTTTCCCTCCTCCTTCCTCCTCCTCCTGTTCTCCTATCCCTTCCTCAAGCACCTGTCCATTCCTTATCCTTGTCCAATTCCTCCCTCCTCCTTCCTCCAGCACCTGCCTCCCTATTCCCTTCCTTCACCTGTTCCTCCCTATCTTTCCTCCCAACACCTGGTCCCTCTTCCTAATGGCCTCCTTTACACCTGAGACCTAATGTCCATGTTGTCCCCTTCCTCACTTTTCCTCCCTATCCCCTTCTTCCAAGCTGTGTCCATCTTTGTCCACCTGTCCCCTTCCCTCACTTTACCTGAGATAATGTATCCATCTTCCTCTTTGGCCTCACACGGAGATAATGTTACCTGGAGATAATGGGTCCGTGTTGTGCTGACCTCACTTATACATGAGATAATGTATCCATCTTGTGCTGGCCACACTTTTACCTGAGATAATGTATCTGTGTTGTCCATTGCTGCCTCACTTTACCTGAGATAATGCATCCATCTTGTGCTGGCCACACTTCTTACCTGAGATAATGGGTCCGTGTTGTGCTGACCACACTTTACATGAGATAATGTATCTGTGTTGTGCTGACCTCACTTTACATGAGATAATGTATCCGTGTTGTGCTGCCTCACTTTACATGAGATAATGTATCCATCTTGTGCTGGCCTCACTTTACCTGAGATAATGGGTCCGTGTTGTGCTGGCCACACTTTACCTGAGATAATGTATCTGTGTTGTGCTGACCTCATTTTACCTGAGATAATGTATCCATCTTGTGCTGGCCTCACTTTACCTGAGATAATGTATCCATCTTGTGCTGGCCACACTTTGCCTGAGATAATTTATCCGTGTTGTGCTGCCTCACTTTACCTGAGATAATGTATCCATCTTGTGCTGGTCTCACTTTACCTGAGATAATGTATCTATCTTGTGCTGGCCACACTTTACCTGGGAGATAATGTATCCATCTTGTGATGGTCTCAATTGTATCCACCTGGGACCTGGATAATGTATCTATCTTGTGCTGGCCACACTTTACCTGAGATAATGTATCCATCTTGTGATGGCCTCTAACTTACTTAAGATAATGTATCCGTCTTGTGCTTGCCTCACTTTACCTGAGAAGATGTGTCCGTGTTGTGCTGGCCTCCCACTTTACCTGAGATAATGTATCCATCTTGTGCTGGCCACACTTTACCTGGGAGATAATGTATCCTGTCTTGTGCTGGCCTCACTTTACCTGAGAAAGTGTGTCCGTGTTGTGCTGGCCACACTTTACCTGAGATAATGTATCCAAATGCCTCCGGGTTGTGCAAACCTCCCTCTGCCCTAGATACTACGTCTCTGTTGTACTGGCCTTACGTTATCCAAATGTCTCCGGGTTGTGCTAGCCTCACTCTGCCCCAGATACTGTGCCTCTGTTCTACTGGTCTTACGTTATCAAAAGGTCTCCATGTTGTGCTAGCCTCATTCTGCCCCAGATACTGTGCTTCTGTTCTACTGGTCTTACGTTATCAAAAGGTCTCCATGTTGTGCTAGCCTCACTCTGCCCCAGATACTGTGCCTCTGTTCTACTGGTCTTACGTTATCAAAAGGTCTCCATGTTGTGCTAGCCTCACTCTGCCCCAGATACTGTGCCTCTGTTCTACTGGTACATGTTATCAAACTGTCTCAGGTTGTGCTAGCCTCACTCTGCCCCAGATACTGTGCTTCTGTTCTACTGGTCTTACGTTATCAAAAGGTCTCCGGGTTGTGCAAACCTCCCTCTGCCCTAGATACTACGTCTCTGTTGTACTGGCCTTATGTTATCCAAATGTCTCCGGGTTGTGCTAGCCTCACTCTGCCCCAGATACTGTGCCTCTGTTCTACTGGTCTTACGTTATCAAAAGGTCTCCATGTTGTGCTAGCCTCATTCTGCCCCAGATACTGTGCTTCTGTTCTACTGGTCTTACGTTATCAAAGTGTCTCCATGTTGTGCTAGAATTCCTCACTCTGCCCCAGATACTGTGCCTCTGTTCTACTGGTCTTACGTTATCAAAGGTCTCCATGTTGTGCTAGCCTCACTCTGCCCCAGATACTGTGCCTCTGTTCCTACTGGTCTTACATACATCAAACTGTTTCCTGCTGTGCTTCAGCCTCTACTCTGCCCCAGATACTGTGCTTCTGTTCTACTGGTCTTACGTTATCAAAAGGTCTCCATGTTGTGCTAGCCTCATTCTGCCCCAGATAATGTGCCTCTGTTCTACTGGTCTTACGTTATCAAAAAGGTCTCCATGTTGTGCTAGCCTCATTTTGCCCCAGATACTGTGCTTCTGTTCTACTGGTCTTACGTTATCAAAAGGTCTCCATGTTGTGCTAGCCTCACTCTGCCCCAGATACTGTGCCTCTGTTCTACTGGTCTTACGTTATCAAAAGGTCTCCATGTTGTGCTACCCTCACTCTGCCCCAGATACTGTGCCTCTGTTCTACTGGTCTTACGTTATCCAAATGTCACCGTGTTGTGCTAGCCTCACTCTACCCCAGATACTGTGTGTGTTGTACTGCCTCATATCACCTAGCGTCTCCGTGCACAACTGAAGGTTGTACTTCTGTGTTGCATTACCCTGTGGTATAGAACATAAGTGTTGTTACAAGCACCACCTTAAGTAATATAGAATATTAGTATTGACAAGTAGGCTGACCAAGCTTTACCTATGACATTGTGTCTGCATCGTGCACGAGCCTCACTTTTTTCAAACATATTTACCTTTCCTTGTTTAAGTTATACAGCTGACACAACACATGATGTAAAAGTAGTTCTTACATGGCTCAGAATAGGATGGCACACATTGTATAAAGTAGGTCACAACAGCTTGCAGGAGGTGAAGTAGACACCAATCCCTCCTAGTTACACGCTGCCTGTACAGCTCCATCGATGTTGTCAGAATTCTGCCCTAAATACCTGGCGCGGGATGAAGCAGTTCGACTTTCAACCACGCGTTACTTCTTGGCTTTCTGCCATAAATATTTCCTCAGTCTCCACTTGCTGCAAGGTATGGAAAGAAATTATGTAGAAATATGTACCTCGGTATACCTGTTTACAATGTCTACCAAGCTAAATAGGCTACTCTCCCAACAAAAGAAACGTATAATGCCGACAGAGATACTACCGTTATATTTCAACGCTGAATTTCAACTGTATTTTTATGTTTATTTTGGAAACATCTTGTAGGCTTTATGAGTCAATGAAATATAGCGAAATTGCACACTGGGAATGCAGACTTATCCGTCTTTGGCACCAACTCGAGGAAAGTCGGTTTGGAGTGTCACATGGAGACGTGTGGTGGCGCTGAAGTCAATACCTCGTGTGACCACCGTGGGCATCAGAACTGCACGGCATCGCCTCGGCATCGAACGAATAAGTCTCAGAATCTCGTGTTGCCCAATCGCAGCCCACTCTGCCTGTAGTGCCTGTGTGCGAGTTGCTGAAGTGTCTGGGGCTGAGGGTTACGGCGTCGCACCCGTCTGTCAGGGCATCCCACAAATGTTCGATCGGGTTTAAGTCCGGTGATCTTGAGGGCCAGGGGAGCACATTGATGTTGTGGTTCTGGAGGAAGTCTCTGGTGTGACGTGCTGCTGTGTGGGGCCTGGCATTGTCCTGTTGAAACAACTCCCTCTGGCGATCAATGATTGGAAGGAGGTGTGGGCGTAGGATTTCGTCACAGTACCGTTGAGCTGTCAGGTTGCCCTGGATCATCACCAAATCACTTCTCCTACGGCAGGTGATCGCTCCCCACATCATAACACTTCCCCGGCCGAATCTGTCCACCTGGGGAACGCAAGCGTCGGCGAAACATTCACGTCGACGTCTGTACACCCGCATTCTTCAATCGCGTCGTTCCAATAGAAATCGTGATTCATCACTGAACCAGATTCTACGCCAATTCGGTAGGTTCCAGGCCTGAACGTTGGTGCACCATTGAACTCGATGTCGACGATGTTGTTGTCGAAGAACAGGGCCAAAATAAGGTCTTCTGGCACGTAAACCAGCCTCTCTCAACCTGTTCCTGTCGGTCTGTGCAGAAAGCCTCATCAATCCGGGTATTTTTCGAGCGGTACTGGTCGCCGTAGCTGTTCGATGACGCAGGTGATGTACCCGGATGTAGCGATCCTGCGCCGCAGTGGTCGCTCGAGGTCGCCCACTACGAGGGGCATCTGCTTCCGCATTCTGCCGGCGATATCTCTCCCAAAGCCGTGAAATGGTGCTTTGGTGAACATTCATGCGTCGGGCAACTGCACGTTGAGACTGGCCAGCTTCAAGCAAACCAATGGCGATATGACGGTTGGCTTCACTTAGACGTGGCATTTTGCGTTCGTCAACAATATTCCAAATACAGTGAATAATCGACAGACAGCGATCAACCTTTTATACCCATCATTGAGACTATCTGATCCCCAACTTTCACGTGCATTGCATGTGAATTGTGTATTCTGTGACACTACGCGCCGAAATTGAAAATCATGCTGTTAAATACGGGTATTTTCACGGATGGTGCGTTTTGTAGTGATGTTTCAAAACATAAACACCATAGGACTCATAAACAGAGCCAAACCTTTTGTAAAATGAATCATGTTTAAATATATTGCTACATGAAATTGCTATTTTCATGATGCGTTTCTTTTGTTGGAGAGTATATATATAAAGAATATGAAGTTGAAATATCTTTGGTAAACGTTTTCCGCAGGTACATTCTGTTCTTGCTTCTTCAGGCGGTCAGGGTTAGAGAGACTCTGTAGCACTATGACGTCAGACAGGAACATATGACGTCATGTATGGCACCAATAGCATAGTATCATGTACACACAATCAGGTTTGGTCACATAAAATGATTCGTTCAAGAGTAGAACATTATCATTGCTATAATTGAGTTTATATATCGCGAATACCTTGCACTTGCCACTACCACATTTATCTAAATGTTCACTGAGAGGAAGTTTTGGGTTGATCACTGTGGGATCGATGAAGGTTCATTCTTCTAGTGTTTTTACCGGTATAGTTCTCATTACAACCAGAACAGGTAATTACATAAATAACGTTTCTTGTGTCACAATTCATGTTTTGTTTAACAACAAATGTCTCACTGGATGTAATGTTAATAGAACTTCCTTCAAGAATACTTTCACAAGTATGACAACGGGAATCTCTAGTCAAACCTAGATGAAAATAAGACTTACTTAAAATACTTTTCATTTTTGACTTGGACTTAAAAATAGAAATGTGGCGTTTGACATTAGACATTGTGATTAGGGTTGGGGGCTTGATCTCAGTTATTGTTGTCACGTTTCTAAGCTCTAAACGTTTGCCAAAGTTATTTCAACGTCATCTTCTATTTTTTTATATGTGTGGAGTTTGAACATTTAGTCAAGGCGACCGACTGTACAAGTGTAACATGCGATCAACACCATACTTTCACACACACTATGTAGCCTGTACAAAGGTAACACGCAAACAACATGCAGTCAACACCATACTTTCACACACACTATGCAGCCTGTACAAAGGTAACACAGTAACAACATACAGTCAACACCATACTTTCACACACATTACGTAGCCTGTACAAAGGTAACACAGTAACAACATGCAGTCAACACCATAGTTTCACACACATGATGTAGCCTGTACAAAGGTAACACAGTAACAATGCAGCCTGTACAAAAGGTAACAGCCTGTACAGTAACACAGTAACAACATGCAGTCAACACCATACTTTCACACACATTATGCAGCCTGTACAAAGGTAACAAAGTAACAACATACAGTCAACACCATACTTTCACACACATGCAGCCTGTACAAAGGTAACACAGTAACAACATGCAGTCAACACCATACTTTCACACACATTATGCAGCCTGTACACAGGTAACACAGTAACAACATACAGTCAACACCATACTTTCACACACACTATGTAGCCTGTACAAAGGTAACACCGTAACAACATGCAGTCAACACTATACTTTCACACACATTATGCAGCCTGTACAAAGGTAACACAGTAACAACATACAGTCAACACTATACTTTCACACACATTATGCAGCCTGTACAAAGGTAACACAGTAACAACATGCAGTCAACACCATATTTTCACACACATTATGCAGCCTGTACAAAGGTAACACACAAACAACATGCAGTCAACACCATACTTTCACACACATTATGCAGCCTGTACAAAGGTAACACAGTAACAACATACAGTCAACACCATACTTTCACACACACTATGGAGCCTGTACAAAGGTAACACGCAAACAACATGCAGTCAACACCATACTTTCACACACACTATGTAGCCTGTACAAAGGTAACACAGTAACAACATGCAGTCAACACCATACTTTCACACACATTATGTAGCCTGTACCAAAGGTAACACAGTAACAACATGCAGTCAACACCATGCTTTCACACACACTATGCAGCCTGTACAAAGGTAACACAGTAACAACATACAGTCAACACCATGCTTTTCACACACACATGCAGCCTGTACAAAGGTAACACGCAAACAACATGCAGTCAACACCATACTTTCAAATACACAATGCAGCCTGTACAAAGGTAACACAGTAACAACATGCAGTCAACACTATACTTTCACACACATTATGCAGCCTGTACAAAGGTAACACAGTAACAACATACAGTCAACACCATACTTTCACACATATGCAGCCTGTACAAAGGTAACACAGTAACAACATGCAGTCAACAGCATACTTTCAAATACACAATGCAGCCTGTACAAAGGTAACACAGTAACAACATGCAGTCAACACTATACTTTCACACACATTATGCAGCCTGTACAAAGGTAACACAGTAACAACATGCAGTCAACACCATACTTTCACACACATTATGCAGCCTGTACAAAGGTAACACAGTAACAACATACAGTCAACACCATACTTTCACACACACTATGGAGCCTGTACAAAGGTAACACGCAAACAACATGCAGTCCAGCACCATGCTTTCACACACATTATGCAGCCTGTACAAAGGTAACACGCAAACAACATGCAGTCAACACCATACTTTCACACACATTATGCAGCCTGTACAAAGGTAACACGCCTGGAAACAACATGCAGTCAACACCATACTTTCCGCACACACTATGCAGCCTGTACAAAGGTAACACAGTAACAACATGCAGTCAACACCATGCTTTCACACACACTATGCAGCCTGTACAAAGGTAACACGCAAACAACATACAGTCAAACACCATACTTTCACACGCACACTATGCAGCCTGTACAAAGGTAACACACGCAAACAACATGCAGTCAACACCATACTTCACACACACTATGCAGCCTGTACAAAGGTAACACAGTAACAACATGCAGTCAACACCATACTTTCACACAGACTGTGCAGACTGTACAAAGGTACACGCTAAAACAACATGCAGTCAACACCATACTTTCACACACCATGCAGCCTGTACAAAGGTAACACAGTAACAACATGCACAGTCAACACCATACTTTCACACACATTATGTAGCCAATGTACAAAGGTAACTCGCATAAAACAACATACAGTCAACACCATACTTTCACACACATGGAGCCTGTACAAAGGTAACACGTAAACAACATGCAGTCAACACCATACTTTCACGCACATGCAGCCTATATAGTAAAGGTAACACAGTAACAACATGCAGTCAACACCATACTTTCACACACACTATGCAGCCTGTACAAAGGTAACACACAAACAACATGCAGTCAACACCATACTTCACACACACTATGCAGCCTGTACAAAGGTAACACAGTAACAACATACAGTCAAAACCATACTTTCACACACACTATGCAGCCTGTACAAAGGTAACACGCAAACAACATGCAGTCAACACCATACTTTCACACACACTATGCAGCCTGTACAAAGGTAACACGCAAAACAACATGCAGTCAACACCATACTTTCACACACATTACGTGCAGCCTGTACAAAGGT